TCATGGCCTCGTCGTCTGGTTCTGCAGCGTGCGTGGCCTCTCATCGGCCAGTCCCAGCTGAGGGGATTAGGCGAGCCGTGCCAGTTGCCCGTGTCCAGGGCTCGTCGTGAGCATCGTGAGAGGATTTTCCATGCTCGGTGTTTTAAATGCGGGTGGAACTTCTCGTCTCGATCGAAACTGGCCACGTGATCAACGAGAAGCCGCTCAATATGAACTGGTTTGTCTAAGGCCCTGGTTCCCACTTGATGAGCCTCTAGTCTTCTCGGCAGTTGCAGTTTTCACATGTCTACGTGGTGGTTGCACTTCCTGTGCTGATTCTTCCCTTCTTCCTTCCTCTCCCCTCCTTCCTCCCTCCCTCCTTCTGTGACTTCCTCCCTCCCCCTCCTTTATTCGTGGCTCCCTCCGCCCTCCTTCTTTCCTCCTTCCCTCCTCCTCCCTTCCTCATCCCTCCCTCCTCTCTCCCTCTCTCCCTCCCTCCTTCCCTTCCCTCCCTTCCTCCATCTCTTCCTCCCTCTCTCCCTCCCTCCCTCCCTCCCTCCCTCTCCCCGACACTCCCTACACTCTTCCTCCATTCCTCGATTCTCATTTTCTCATTTCCCATGCCGAGCAGGTTCTGTGGACACTAGCGAGCAGCAAAGCTGAGGCCACCCTCAGCGGGCAAAGGCGTGGTAGCCTGGCGCACCAGCGCGATCCAGCGATTCAGAACGCGAGCTCGGCCCATGGGAGCCGCGGGCTCCCGAAAGACGCGGGAGCCTCGCTGGGCCCGCTCGGCGGCCTCCTTCTGGGCCCTGGCAGCCTCAAGGGACCCCTGGAGACGGTCAGCATACTCGTTGAGTTCCGAGGGGGGTGAAACCAGACCTCGCGCACACCCGCCGGGCCGCCCACTTCCCGCCCCACACGCCGTCCGCCGCCGCCTCCCGCCCGTTCTCGGGCCCAGCAATAGGAGGAGCGATGGAGGTGCCTCTCAGGCCGAGGCAGGCAGGAGCTGCCACCTCGTGGGGCGAAGGGAGCCGCGTGGGGCCGATCGTCCAGCCCTCCTACCTGGGGGGCCCGTCCAGGAGACATACCTTCCGGTGCTCGCTTTCGCTGGCGTCGGAGGGCGGTGGCCAAAGATGACGGCTGACGCTCCTGGCAGAGGCCCTTGATCCCGCCCCATGCGTACGCACCACAGCTGGTGCAACGGATTACCGTGGAGCCTTGGGCTACGGGGAACCCATCTGGGCCGTGCACACGGGCAGTGGAAAACGGGCGTGCTCGGTGAGACGCATCTGCACGGCCAGCTCGGGAGTCACTTCAGCCGAGAGGAACGCATCCGGCGCGACACGGGGCCTCAGCGGCACCGTCCGCAAGGCGAGGGTCGACCACCAAAAATCCTCGCGGGCCGCTTTGACCTCTAGACGCTGGGCCCTGTCTGGCAGCGGGTCCGAATCTCGGGTGTCACGGTCGGCCATGAGCACCTCCTGCTCCCCCCCGCCCATCGACTTGTCTGGCCGACCACGTGACTCCGTGCGCGGATCTGGCTGCGGGCCGCGCTGGTGTCTGGGTGGAGGGCGGCTCCTCTCTCGGCCAGCTCGGCAGCCCGATCGGAGCCCAGCTTGCGCGAAGCAGGGTGGTGCGGCCCGAGTCGACGTCGCCCCAAGAACAGTGAACTCTCACCCTGGTGCAGTCGCCTCACAGGGAGGTCGGAGCCTCGGCCCGAAGGGCCGCTCCGCGTCTTGGCCACCACCGCCCCCCCCCTTCACGGCACGAAGCAAGAGAAGAAAGATAATGACGAGAAGGGAGAGAAGGAAGGGGAATACAACCATCGAGGATTGACCCTGATAACATGGTAAAGGCTTGGCCTCACTTAGGTCCCCATCCTTGCATTAGGGATAATAAGTCTGGGCGGTTTGGTTTGATACGCCTGCAGGAAAAAAAACCCTGGCCCTGATGTTCTTGGCCCTCCTATAGGTCCCCTCCAAAAGGGTTAGGGGTCCTTTTATTGCTCATCAGAAGAGGCACGCGACGAGGACTCCGTGGCCACTTTGGCTCAAGCGCTGTCTGCAGCCGGCCTGATTTGCGAGCACTCCCAGCCACATCCCAACCTGCCACCGATGACCTCGGCCACGGAGCGCACGGAGCTGGCGGAGGTCAGCGGCGAGGCGAGCGGGTCGGAGCATTTCTTGGTCCAGGACGCTCGCGCCCGGCGTTCGCCCTGGCGGGCGGCGGGTGGCGCAGGCGTGGCCGCCCTGCTCCTGGCCGGCGCAGGGGCGGGGGCAGCGCGCTTGGCGCTGCACGGGGCGGCCTCGGACACGGACAGCCTCCAGAGCAAGGTGCAGACGGTAGCCCTGCCGCCGCGCGACAAGTGCGCCAGCACGGACGACGACTGCTACAGCCTGGGGTGCTGCAACGTTGCGGGCCTGAACTGCTTCGAGACCAAGCCGGGGAAGGGAAAGTGCTTGAAGAATTGCACTCCCAGTGCCTCCCAGCTGTGCATTCAGACGCAGCCGATCATGGACCCGATCCTCAAGGATGCCGACTGGTACGGCCCGTCATTGTACTGCTTCGCAGTGGTCATGCAGGACATCGGCAGCACAAAGAAGATGTACAATTTGGAGCTACTCCAGGGAGCATACGGCAGGAAGACCAGCATCTTCGGGTGCGAGAGTTGGGGAGTATTCAGCGACAAGGAGGGTGAGGTCGGGCCCGGCGCTCCGCTCGTGAAGCTGGAGGATGCCGACGGGGACTTCCATTTCGCGAAGAGAGAAGAGACTGGCACCTGGCTGAATACGGGCTTGCATTACCAGGCTTGGAAGGCAATCGGGGAAGCCGGCGTGTACAAGAGCGCCAACTGGGTCGTGAGGTCGATGTCCGGTACAGAATACAGCAGGCGGCCATCACCTCGTTGGCGCGCGTGCAGCACAAGGGCAGAGACCCGCGCGCCGACTTCACGCGGCGCCTCACCTGGGACTGCACAAGGCGCGGCCTGGCAAAGAACCTCCACCGGCACCTAGCGTGGACCGGATGGGAGCACGACCCTGCCCTGCCCTGGACCTGGCGCCACGCCGGCACAGAGGACAGGTTCAGCTTGGACAGGCGGCAGCCGGACTGGAAGAGCCCAGGCCGCCTCGCGCACAGCCTCCGGGAGGCGTGGCGCTTCACTCGGTACACAGAATGGCAGCGGGCGGGTCGACGCGACAGCACCCTCTGCCAGGGCATAGGCTGCGACCCGAAGCGGTACAAGGCCGTCCTCGAGCACATGAAGTCCCAGCCCGGCCCCCACCTCAGAGTGATGGGAGGGGCCATCGTGTCGCCGGCGCACCTCCATGCCAGCGCCCCAGCGCAGGACCCGTCCTGCCCATGGTGCCGACAGGAGGCAGGAACGCTGCATCATATCGCGTGGGAGTGCCAGCACCCACGCCTGCGTGAGGCGAGGCCCACAGCGCGCCCGCGCGATCCATTGCAGAACCGACTGTTTTGGCCTACGGGCCTCTCGTCAAGGCGAGCAGCAGACGCCGCCATTCTCAGCTGGGGCGTCCAAATCGACCGGGCCATCCGGGAGATCAGGTACAGGGAAGGGGACCCGTTCATTATCCACCTCCCCTCCCTCCTCCTCCGGGACACCGCGGCCTTCTCCTAGATGGCCGTGTTCCTGAACGTCGTCACCTCGACGGCCATGTTCTTCAACTACTTCCCAATTGGGTCGTGAAGGTCGATGCAGGCGCGGTGTTCGTGCCGAGCCGTTTGGTGTCTTACCTCTCTAGCAAGGTGGTCCCGGCCAACGGCCTCTACCTCGAGAGCTGCAAAGGCGTGAAGTACTGGTGGTTCGGCAGTTTGGAGATCTTCTCGGCGGTGGCCTTCGAGACGCTCCTGGGATCGATGGCCTCGTGCAAGGACGCCGTCGATGGGAAAACGGGCATTGACGGAGGCAAGTACGGCCCCATGGGTGAGGATCTATTTGCGCAGGTTTGCTTGGATACGAACGGCGTCTCCCGAGGAGAGGCATTCGGCACCAAGCTGGACGGAACTTGCGAGGCGGACCGGCCAACCGCCGAGAAGAAGAACAAGAAGTGGAAGCCCACGTGCGACGGCGAGCTTTCCCGGCGTACCACCCGCTGATGAAGCCCGAGGACTATATGGCTTGCTTGGATGCCACCACCAAGGCATTCGGCTATTGAGCGCCCTACAGGAGCCAGTGAAGCTGCGGTGCGCCAGGCAGGGCGCCCTGTCCGCCTGCCTTCTGCGCCCCGCGCCCGCTGTTCTGTAGTCGTGCAGGCTTTTCGTCGCGCTGCCCTGGCCACTCCTCGCCACACAATGCTGGCGTCGAGCAAAGATGTGTCTGATGCAGCAGGCAGCCTGGCGCTGCTTAATCATGGGAGTCCCCCATTTTCTTCCGGTTCGTTCTGACCGCCCCAAATGGCCAGCGAAAGCATCACCACCGTAGTTATGCAGTTCCCTATCGTGGACCAGCATCTGCTTTTCCACGGAGGCCTCCGCGGTGCTCTGAGCCTCACATCGATGCGCCGAGGGCAACGACAAAAAAAAAGAGGCACGCGACGAAACGTAAAACGGGCAAGAGGAGCAGGAGGATCAGAGCACGTCTGCGCCTGCAGGCCGGCGGGCAGCATCGCGAGCCGCGCAGGGCGCTGCTCCGCCCGGCCCGCCGCCCGTCTGCTCGAGAGGAGCCCGGGGCCCAGGGCCGCCCCGCAAAGCGCCCCCGGAGGTGGCTCCGAGCGGCTGGCGAGAGCCCCCGAAGCGGCCAAGTAGGGCCCGCGCCGAGGTTTCGCCTGGTGCCGTCCCTCGGGCGCGCCGCAGGCACCCCGCGCGGGGGTGGGCGCCCCTCGCCTGGGCGGCGTGCGGAGGCTTTGCCCGGTGCCCGCCCGTGGGCGCCTCGCAGGCGCCCGTGCCCCGGGTGGGCGCCATCGCTCACAGCACATAGCTCACACCGCATAGCTCGCACCGCATAGCTCACGCCACGCAGGTCACATCGCAGAGCTTGCGAAGCACGGCTCACGCCACGCCGCGCAGGCAGTACAGCTTGCGCACACGATACGGCTTACACAGCATAGCTAACACCTCACAGCAGACTCCGCATAGTATCACCTCCGCAGTGCAGGAACTCACTGCTTGGGGCCACACCGGCTAACACGTGTGTGTGTGTGTGTGTGTGTGTGTGTGTGTGTGTAGATGTGTGAGCTGTCTAGCTCGCCCAAGCGGCATAAGCCTGCATACGTACTCCACCCCCTCCACCTCCTCCCCCCCCATCCCAGCATCTCGGATCAATCCTGGAAAGCCCAGTGACAACCACTACGGTGGAGGCGTTTGCTAAGGAATGCGCCCAGAATGCCCCAGACCCCGGAGGATTCTCCTTATCCAGTGAGGGCGGCGGTGATATCCATGGCCGACCCACGATTGGAGTTCCACTGGCTTCCAGACCCTGGATTCCTTATCTAAGGGTTCCTTATCCTCGTCCTTCTCCTCCTCCTCCTCCTCCTCGTCCTTGTCCTCCCCCTCGTCCTCCTCCTCCTCGTCCTCGTCCTCCCCCTCGTCCTCCTCGTCCTCCCCATCGTCCTTCTCGTCCTCGTCCTCCCCCTCGTCTAAGGGTTCCTCATCCTCGTCCTCCTCGTCCTCCTGCCATAGTCCGCCCTCGCCCTCCTCCTCCCGCCCCGGGCAGGCGGCTCGGCCGGCCTGGCCCTCAGCTCCTCGAGCTTCCTGGCGGGCAGAGGCAGGGGCCTGAACGACGACTCCCGGGGCAGCAGGAGAGCCGCGAGGGCGAGGGGCGAGGACGAGGACGAGGACGAGGCTTGGGCGAGAGCGTGTCGCCGCTCGGGCGAGGACGAGGAGGCAGGAGGGAGGCGGGGGAAGAGGAGCCGAGGAGGAGGAGGAGGAGGAGTGGGAGGAGTCGGAGGAGGAGGAGGAGTCGGAGGAGGAGGAGCCGAGGAGGAGGAGGAGCCGAGGAGGAGGAGGAGGAGCCGAGGAGGAGGAGGAGCCGAGGAGGAGGAGGAGTCGGAGGAGGAGGAGGAGCCGAGGAGGAGGAGGAGCCGAGGAGGAGGAGGAGTCGGAGGAGAAGGAGCAGGAGGAGGGGCATCGCAGTGCAGTTGTTGATGCCGTTGCGGGTAGGCGTGACATTGTCGAGCCGGATGGGGCACGTATGCTCTCTCCCGTCCCTGGAGCGGTGTTCGTGAAGGCTGGGATGACAGCCTTCTCGTCCCAGAGTCTCAACAGGGACGTATGATAAAACCTGGTATTGGTGGGTGGTATGTGTAGTCAACATGCCCCGAGGCAGCCGCCTCTTTTCGACACTCAATGTTCGACGAGTGGCACGGGTGGGTCATCTACGGTAGCCCCGTGGACGCCTACCTTCCAGGTGATGAGGCGTGTTGCGTGTCTCACCGCCTGCCCCACTGCAGCAAGTATCGCCACCTGGTGGTGGCGAGAGTGGGCCCGTTCCACAACATGGGGCATGGGAAATATGCCCTGCAGCAGGCGAGGGCGCCACCCTGGTGGTCACAGGGGGGGGGCGGGCTGGGGGACTTGCTCCACCGCGCGGCGGGTCACCGCCCTAAGCCGGGTTTCGGTGACGTTAGTGGGACAGCTTTCCGACAATCCCACAAGAGCCAACCGATTCATGCAGTCGCACGGATCTGTGCATCCGCCTGCGGCAGTTGAATTCGACACGGGAGTTCTTCCTCACTGCCTGTCCCCGCGCACGACACTTGGCTCCTGAAGGCTGTCCTTGGCGTGATGCCAGGTATGCACTGCTCGGTCGTGCTGTTACATACAGGGCGGTAATCGGATGGGCGTGCGAGAGCGCAGGACCGCCGGCCTTGCCACCGGACTGCGACCTCGAGGCAGCTGCCTCGCGACGAAGGAACCCGAGCAGAATCCGTGAATGCGCGCGAGCTGGCATTGCCGCTGGGCAGCGCCCACACCGCGGTAACCGGGGGAACGTGCGAGCGTGCAGAACCGCCAGCCTTGCTGACGGGCTGTGTCCTTGAGGCAACGGCCTCGCGACGGGGGTAGGAGAAATTGTGGATGCACGAGGGCCGGCATTGTCGCCAGTCAGTGCCCAAATGGAGACGACCCGTGGCAGCGGGGCAGACGCGAGCGCGTGCAGGACTGCTTGCTTTGCCGCCAAGCAGTGTCCTTGATTGAGGCCTATGCTTCGCGACGGGGGTAAGTGCGCGCAAAATCTGCGGATGCACGGCAGCCAGCACTGCTGCCCGCCAGCGTCCAAGAGGATGCGACCCGTGGTAGCGGAAAGACGTGAGAGCGTCCAGGAGCGCCAGCCTTGCCGCCGGGGTGCGTCCTTGAGACATCTGCCTCGCGAAGGGGGTACGCGCGAAAAAAATGCGGATGCGCGAAACTGGCATTGCCGACCGCCAGCGCCCAAGAGGAAATGAAACGCGATGATTGGAAAGACGCGAGCGCGTGCAGGACCCCCAGCCTGGCCGCCCCGAGGAGGAGGAGGAGGAGGAGGAGGAGGAGGAGGAGGAGGAGGAGGAGGAAGAGGAGGAGGAG